GCAGAACTACAGGTGAATCATTGTTATTGCTGTTGGAGCATGGGCACAGACATTCTTCTGGTCTGGGTGTAGGGGATTTTTCTAAAGAATAGATTTCTTACGTTAGTTATTGAATTCCTAATTAGTGGGTCCTGTTCAGGCTCCCCAAAAATCTGAAATTGTCTGTCCCTTGATAAAGATAACTGCCATAGAAATCTGAAAGGAGTTTGCTTTGCACAATGGAATGGCTTTCGTAACAGTTCATTCTATTGTAGCTGCACATGAAGGACAGGGATTTCAAATTTAATACTGACATTTAAAGTTAGACTCATAGATGTAAGGTCAGAAGGGAATATCATGATCCTCTAGTCTGACCTCCTGCACATGACAGAACAGAGAATCTCACCCACCTGCTCCTGAAATAGATCCCTAACCTCTGGCTGAGTTACTAAAGTCCTCAAATCATGCTTTTAATACTTCAAGTTACAGAGAATTCACCATTTTATGCTAGTTTAAACCAATCTGACCGGGGGGGAAATTCCTTCCTGATCCCAAATATGGCGATCAATTAGACCCTGAGTATATGGGCAAGACCCACCAGGCAGATACCTGGGAAAGAATTCTCTGTAGTAACTCAGAGCCCTCCCCATCTAGTGTCACATCTCCAACCGTTGGGAATTTTTGCTACTGGCAGTTGCTGATGGGCCACATGCCATTGTAGGCAGTCCCATCATAACATCCCCTCCATAAATTTATCAAGTTTAGTCTTAATTCAACTTTGCTTTATATACATTTCCAGAATACTTGAAAGTGGAACCATTTGTTATTAATCGTATTTATTTGGGCCAATATTTTCAAAAATGGGAGCCTAAAGTTGTCTGCAATGGATGCTGTTGAGTAGTTTTACTTCTGAAATAAGGTTATTCACTTCAAATGTCTAAATATGGATTTAGGAGTCTAACATTATGCTTGTGATTTTGAGACTCTTGACCTAGAAATTTAGCCTTTTTCTTTAGCATATTGTTTGGTATCCAATCCAGATTGCTACAAAACTATTTGTCATTTGTAAGCAGTCACCAAATAGTTTGGATTAGTAATTTACAGACTATAGATTGTTTGCAAACTGTTCACCCAAGCTATTTGTTATTCAGTAGTTGTGAGGTATGCCTATCCTGAATCACATAGTATTGTTTCTGCTCCACGAATGCAGCACTGAACTTTTTAAAACAGGAGAATAATCTGCTTTTGTTATCAGTTTATGGATGAATAAATCATTCATGTTAGAATGTGTGAAACTTTCAGGATTCATAACCATATTCACAAATACCCATCCGTCATCCAAATATTCATGAATAACTATTATTATGACTAAACTCAGTATGTGTCACAAAAATATTCATGATCACGTTTCTTGAAAATTACTTCAGGGTTTCACATTTCCAGTTTGTATGTCAGGCTAAAATACAGTTGCTCTGCTTCCTGCTTCTGTAGCCCAACATCAGCGCTGCTCATGAACCACCTACTCATACAAAGGGGTATCTATTCATTTCTTTATGCATATATTCAACTTCCATAATGCAACCCAGGTACAATGAGAAGAGTTTACATGTCAAAGACCGAGCAGTCTCAAATGACATCTAAATTCAATTAAAATGAAGGAACTAAACGGATGCACTGTTTCTTCTGGAACTTCTGAGGTTTACAATAACACAATTTTTCCAATGTGTTAAAGAAGTTTCCACATTCAAAGCACCATTCAGATACTGAGAGCAATATGGACAATTTAGTTCAATATGAGAAATGCTCTTGCAAATTTCTCTTATATACAAAGGTGAAAGTAAGCCGGTACGCCCCGGTACAGCGTACCGACAAGAGCAAGAAATAAGTTTCAGTGGTAGCCGTGTTAGTCTGTATCAGCAAAAAAAAAAAAAACGAGGAGTCCTTGTGGCACATTAGAGACTAACAAATGTATTTGGGCATAAACTCATTAGACTGACCTAACACTTGGTAAAGCACCCCCATCCTTTCATGTATTTATACCTGCTCCTGTATTTTTTACTTCATACACCTGATGAAGTGGGTTCTAGCCCACAAAAGCTTATGCCCAAATACATTTGCTAGTCTCTAGCAAGAAATAAGAGCAGCCTCCCTATTACTGAGCCCTCCAAAGCATCACAATCTAAATCCAAGAGCAAAAGCATGGCTCAGCTGTAGGGGAATCTGTAATGCCAACAATTACCATTCCATGAAGCAAGAGACACCAAATTCAACAGAACCAAATGACAATGGAATGGAGAACTCAGCACCAGAGATATTTTTGAGTGAAATAGTCAAACACTCATTAGACATTTATAGCCATGCTTCAGATAAGGAGCTGGTCTAAATCTGGTATGAGAAAAAACTTCTTGTCACGGGAAAACACTGACAAATCAGGTGTATTGCAGAGGAAAGGGCTATGCTTTCCTCTGACACATCTGGCATTTCTGTTAGAGACAGTATATCACACAACTGGTATGCTGTAAAGATTAGAACAAATCAACATTTCTGATGTGAACCCTTCTCCCTTACCATGGACACTGACAAAGTTTAGCTCCAGGTCCCAATGTTGCAGTAGGCTCCTATTACTAAAATGGGCCAAATCCCAAATCTGATCCAGACACTTCTGAATTCTGGGGAATTTCAGATCTAGATCTGAACTTTGTGGCTCTGACGTTTCTCTAATTTGTACCAGTATTGGAATTCCAATGTCCCCATGGGAATGTTTGCAAACATAAGCTCAGAAACACAAAAATCATACTTCAGGGTATGTTAAATGCTCTAGACTCTTTAAAGAACTCTGGACAGTATGATCTTTTGAACACAAGTCACATGAAAATGATCCAAAGGACTCATAAAATCATTAAACTTACCAAAGTTCAGTCTCATCAAAGGAGAAAGAACTGAAGCCCAGTTCACAGGTGGATACTGGTAGCTTTCTCCAACTAAAGCTATAGGTGCCAAAGCTACTTTCACCAAGTGAGGGGGAATGGATTCAGGGCCTGCAACAGAACAACCAATTATCACCTGAATTTCATGAGCAGCAAATTGGGTAAAATAACCAAAACAAGGAATATAAAAACATAAGACATGAATTTACAGTATTACATACTGGACTGAAAAACAATTTGTAATGAAAGACAAAGACATTATAAAAGCACCTAAAAATATTCTGCCATTTGTATTGCCTGCAATTGGCTGAATATGCTGCAAACTTTTTGGAATGCAGTTATTGGATTATACAAAGAATGGTCTGCTAAAGAAGTGTTCTTCTGTCTCTGCTGAAGCGGAGCTAGTCTAAAATTAATTTTAGAAATTAAAATGAATAAAAATAAATTAAAATAATTTGTACTTCTACAGCAACTCCCATCCAAGACTCTCAAAGCACTTTACACACATTAATAAATTAAGCCTTATACCGCTTCTCTGAGGTGAGTAATTACTGTCTTCATTTTACAGGCAGGGAAACTGATGCAGAGAGATTGCATGATTTATCCATATTCACACAGGAAATCAGCACCAGAATTCGGAACAGAGCAAAACTTTCTGCCACCAGTTCCCCAAGTTCCATCCAACAGACACCTACAACCCAAATTCTAGCCCTCATTTAACTTCTACCCAAGCCCAAGTCGAAGGCTTTGTCTTCACTGCAAAGAAGGTGTGGGTTGTTTTTTTAAACATCAAGATAGCTAACTCAATATAAAGTCCGACTGGAGTAAAGGCACAAGTAGTTGAGAGCTGGCCTCAACTAGCTATGCTATAGTAAAAACTACCTGGGTCTTATCTCTACTCTGATTTTCTACACAAATTTAACAAGGTTCTAACATGGTTTATATTAAAATATTTTTCACTGAAATTTCTATTTTTAATATAATTCATTAGTGATTTTTTATAGTTTATTACAGGTAAAAACATAGGTCAAATCACATTTTACAGAAGCAGCACATTATCACATCTTTATGGAATTTGCTCAATCTCACCTTTCTTTCCTCCTTCAATGGCAAAGTCAATAGCTGCCCTGATAAAGCTGTTTTCAGGCAAGTAGCTGAAATCTGGAGGAACTGTGAAGACAAAAAATATGAAATAAGCCAGCAACTTGGCAGGACAAATAATAATTTCCAACTACCCTATACAGTCAAAGGCAAAATGAGGTCTTTATGAACTGATCCTCGGTTAAGACACTGATAGTGACCATTTCTATTAGATCAAAAGACTGATGCAGAAGTTATCACTGGCTTCCCCCTAGCCCATCATTCTTTCCATGTGAATTTAGTGTTGATGAAAGGTGCTGGACTGCCAGCAATGAAGAATGGACTCATTCATTTGTCCACTAAAAAGCTATTATGGTGTGTGAACTTCTCCCTACACCTCAGTTTATATGCCTCTATCCTAACCTGTAGGGACTGCTAAGCATAATAGCACAGGTTACACTCCATACCCACTAAGTCCTTGGCCTCTCTGCCAAGACTGCCGCCAAGAGGATTGAGGGTTGTTTTTGTGGTGTTGACATGTGTTCCTCCTTGATGCTACTGACTCATTCACAACTTGAGTCAGATTGAAACTAACGGCCTATACTTAGCTCCCTCTATTGAATTATATTTCCCACCAATCATCTTGCCCTGCAATCATTTACCTGGTGGATTACTGGTGAAATTATAGTTGGTCACTCCATACCATTAGGTGAAATTCACACCTGCACTGAGGGCCAGTAAAGAGTCTATGTACCACTTAAATCCCACTTAAGCTCTCTTGTAGGCTTAAGTGGGACATAAGTGATGCCTAGCCCTCATGCTGACCCTCTGCACAGAGATGAATTTCAGCCTTTGTGAATAGCATACTGGACTGCTTAAGAAGACAGATTAGTTGTGCCTTCTAGCTAATCAGAGAATAGCTCATCTGTAGGAGTACAGTTATGAAAAATTAATCTCATTTATTTTCCTTTCTTTGTATTGGTTGGTTTTTAAATGTTTAAAATATTTAAGGGAAAAAGATGCTGAAATAAGAAGTCAGCAAATCTGGAAATCCAATTAGCTCTCAGAGCACAGTATAAATATTTCAGTTACAAAACATAGATCAAGGTCCTCCTGCACAAATCTAATTTTAAAACAATTATGCATTATTCTATTGGGGAAGGAATAGCTCAGTGGTTTGAGCATTGGCCTGCTAAACCCAGGGTTGTGAGTTCAAGCCTTGAGGGGGCCATTTAGGGATCTGGGGCAAAAACCTGTCTGGGGATTAGTCCTGCTTTGAGCAGGGGGTTGGACTAGATGACCTCCTGAGGTCCCTTCCAACCCTGATATTCTATGATTCTATGTTGTAAATTTAAAACTAGAGAATACAGCCTGGACTGGAACAGCTTAACTTGTGAGCTCTTAGACTCTGATTCTGCAAGCAGAAACATGTGAATAGACCCTTGCACTCAACACCACTGACTTTAATGGGGCTCTGCACGGATACAAGGATCTGATTGCATGTTACAACTTGCAGGTTCGGTGCCTTGGATTGTGAGCTTTTAGAGCCAAAGATTGTCTTTTCATTTTACATGGGTGCAGTGTTCTAGCATAAGAGCTTCCCCCTAAAGCCTGTCACGTATTCTTAAACAACAACAATGAAAGCATCTTACCGGATGTTCTGTTCTGGGTTGAGGACAAACTGGATTGATGAAGGTGTCCTAAAAGCCAAGCTGCATTTGTCTGAAGACCAATCACCCCAGAAAAACTGACTATCTGTAAAGGCAATTATTGGACATGAATTTGTAGGCTAGTCTCATTAATGATGGTCTCTTCATTCTGTGCTGCAACAGCAAGCTGGACACAAAAAAATGGTACTTTTTTTTTTTAAATTAAATCTGGATCCTCCACACAAGGTACTGTAGTACAGTGCACATCACACATTATTGGAGACAGACATGATCCTCTCACCTGAGTCAGGGTTCTGATGATTTCATTAAGTTTATTTTGAAACTGGGATGACTGGATAGCCTCAGATTTCAGCTGCCAGGAAAAAAACAAACAAAAGGATGTGAACATCTGAAGGAAAAGCAAAACAATGAAATGCATAATTGGTGGTGGAGGAACTGGTTTAGCTCTCATACACAACAAATATTGTTGAAAGCAACCTAAGGACCAAATTTTCTTTTCAAAGATATTATTCTGACAGAGGAAATACATTTTTGTACAATTAATTCAAAACTCTGCAGCAAACTGAATGTTTTGCTATTAAATAAGCCTAGTTATTTAATTATTCAATGTATTAACCACCACCTTCCCCCCAAAAATCCATTCTGGTGTTATAGGTGCTCATAGAGAGGTGATCCCATTCAGTTTTCCAGCCTGAATCTTTAACTTTGTTTCTAAAGGAAACACAGGTATCACGTGCTTATATCTTTTTACCTGTATCATGGATGCTTCAGAACCCACCAACGCGACCAGCCCATTGACAGCAGCCAGACGCTGCATTGTGGGAGACCCCTATAAATCCAAGCAAAATCAACACATGACAAAGGGGTGGAAGGCGGCATAACACTGAACAGCAAAGGCATTTTCCTCCAAGAAAAGACTTTCTTTTTAATTCTGAACTATATAGACATACCTCTCCCCCAACAAACTCATATGCTGGCCTCGGAGTGTGAGACCCAACTATGTTACCAAGGCTGTGAAATAAATAGTATTTCTGGGACTTGCTCCTTTTCCCAAACTCAAATAATAGTATATTTCTCATTAACATAGCACCTCCCACTACAGTATGTTCCAGTCTAACATCTTTGAAGTGCATCACCCATAAGAACATGCTGAGATGATCTAGTCTTTATACAGACTGTCGAAATTTTGTGTTATTAATATTTACCTTCAAATCCCATCTTGGAGGATTCATTTAGGATCTGCTTTTAAAACTACATTTCATATGTAATTTTTTGGTACAATGGGATAAATCATTACTATGGAATTGTAAGCATAATAAATGAATACATTTCACTCAATTCTTTATTCAATTATAATGACAGTGATTAATGTTGCCTTCAGTAGGCCTAGAATTGTTCAGCTCCACCTACTACACTAAATGCAATCTAAGCATCACAGTGTAGTTTCTGTATTCACTGGGCATACAGATGGCAATTACAGGCTGATCAAAGTAGAGCTAGAGCCATTTATTACTTAATGAAATATGCACTTACGGTAAACTTACAGTGAACAGCAAAACACAATTCCATTTTGCCAGTCTAATTTTTGTTAAGTACCACCTTACTTCATAAGTGATCTCAATGTTAGTGTGACTACTCATGGACTAAGATACTACTCACGGTGAGTAAAGAATGCAGTTGAGCTCTCACAGACTATCTGGAATATTTTTGGTAGAGAGCTGTCTTACATTGCCTTGTTGCTTATAAAAAAAACCAACGGTTAATAACCTTTCTGTAACTATTGTTCTTCGAGATGTGTTGCTCATGTCCATACCACATTAGGTATGCGCACGCTGCGTGCACAGTTGCTGGAGATATTTCCGTCAGTGGTATCCATTGGGCTGGCTCTAGTGCCCTCCGGTACATCCGTATAAGGAGCTCAGCCGGCTCCTGAGTTACTTCTTGCCAGCTAACTCCGACAGAGGGACAGGAGGGTGGGTCGTGGAATGGACATGAGCAACATATCTTGAAGAAGAACAGTTACAGAAAAGTTAGTAACCATTTTTATTCTTTCAATGCTTGCTCATGTCCATTCCACGTTAGGTTCCTCCCAAGCGATAGCTTAGGAGGTGGGCTCAGAGTTCATGGACATGCAGATTGCAACACTGCTCTACCAAACCCAGCATTATCTCTAGCCTGCTGGGTGATGGCGTAATAGAATGAAAAAGTATGCACCGACGACCAGGTCGCAACCTTCCAGGAGAGATATGACAAGGGGCACGATGTCAGCGGCTCAAAAGGAGGGCCTGAAAGTCTTGACAGGACCAGGTTTAGGTCCCACGGGGGAATGGGTTCACGAATTTGCGGGTATAGTGTCTCTCAGCCCTTGAAGAAGCAAATGGACATTTTGTGAGAAAAAACTGACCTACCATCTACTGGAGGGTGGAAGGCTAAGATGGCTGCTAGGTGTACCTTAAATCGATGAAATGGCTAGGCCCTGCTGTTTCTGAAGGAGCAGATCCTCCACCACAGACTGGAGAGGTGATCCAGCAGGTCAGAGGCCTCATTGGGAGGACCACATGGAGAAACACTTCCATTTGGCAGGGTCACTCTAGTAGTGGCCATGTGCTCCCTTCTGCTCCCCAGCAATGACACCACCGAATCTTGTACTGCTGGCGAAAGCAGTACCGATAGCTAAGGCTAAGATTTTGTCATGGTTATTTTTAGTAAAAGTTATGGACAGGTCACGGGCAATAAACAAAAATTCACGGAAGCCAGGACCTGTCTGTGACTTTTGCTGCTGCGGCTCCATGGTTTCCCACACCACCGTGGTGGCTGGGAGCTGTGGGGTTCCTCCTTCACCCACGGCGGCTGGGAGCTGCAGGGTGACCATATTTCCCAAAGAGAAAATGGGACACCTGAGCCACTCACCCGAGGCGTCACCTTCCCCCCACGCAAGGCTGTCGCCCATCACTGGAACACTGAGGCACGCCCCCTCAGAAGTCTGTCACCTGTCGCTGGAGCTTTGCAGGCATCTTCTCTTCTCGCTGCTGTCGCCTGTCACTGGAACCCTGCCAGGGCCCCACTGGCTGTCAGCTCCAGAGTCCTGCAGCCCTGGGGCTGAAACAGAGAATGTCAGGGAGATCTCTGGAAGTCCATGACCTCTGTGACATAAACGTAGCCTTACCCATAGTGCCAGCAGGTCCCTGGCCACAATGAATGCCTCCAGAGTAGACAATACCGTGATCCCACTGGTGCTGTATTGCCCCTCCTTTGCCAAGGGATTGTCCGGGACTGGACTCAATGTAGTCTGCAAATGAGGCCAACTCAACGGTCCCACCCTCAGAGCAGGGGCAGAGGAGTGGCCTCACTCAGACCGCACACCACTGTGCTCCTCATACTTGGCTCTCTTCAGAGTCCCCTCTTGGTCAGCTGAATCTTAAGTTTTTTCTTTGGCACAGGTGAAGGAGAATGGTACCGAGAAACTCACTCGGTGGGAGGAGCACTCCGCACCAACGCTGAAGTACTGGGTGCTGAGTGGGACCTTCTTGGCTCCAATGAGGGACCAAGGGCTGCCTCCATCAGGAGGGACTTCAACCTGGTCTCCCTGTTCTTCTTTGTATGGGGCTTGAAGTCCCGACAGATCTGGCAGTGGTCCCTGATGAGTCTCTCCCATGCACTTCAGACAACTGGAGCGGGTCACTCACAGGCATGGGTTGGCTGCAGGAGGCACAGGGCTGCGAACCTGGTGACTGAGGCATGCCCCAGCACGGGACGAAACTCCACTAACAGGGTGAGAAGCACCACCTAAGCATATACAACTAATCTACAGCAGTCAAAACTGAGAAAATAAAAAACTGGGATAGAGAAACAAGGGAAAAGGACTAAACTAAGAGCACTGAGTAAGAGTTTGTCAATGCAGGAGGAGCTGTTCCAGTGACCATCACAGGCGGTAAGAAGGATCTGAAAGGGTGCGGAGCCAGCAGGCTACTTATATTGGGGCATGAGCACACAAAACCATAGGGCACTAGAGCTGGCCCGATGGATACCACTGTGGGAAAAAATCTCCAGTGACCTTGCACACAGTGCGCGCACACCTACCGTGGAATGGACATGAGCAAGCATGCAAAGAGAAAAATATTGCTTTTTCTTTAAACAGACTGCAGAGAGAGTCTTGCTTCTAAATGTGAATCTAATCGCCTGCTCAAATAATTCAAACTATTCTTAACTATTTTCTTCTCCTTAATGAAATAAACTCATTAGTAATTTATTTTTTTTTAAAAGGACAGACAGACAGCTCTTCTACCTCTGCAAGCACAATTTTCATCCAGGCAGGAAGCAGTCTGTTACTCAAGTCTTCTGCTTTCCCATGTCCACAGACTGACAAACCATGAACTATGCTACCCAATGCCAAAGCAAAACCGGATGTCTGCAGGAAACACAAGATATCGAAAACACAGATTACAAAACAGCTTTCACAAAAGCCCATGTATTCCTTTTTCAAAAGAAAAACATCCTGCATTTTCCAGGTGCAGTACGTCCCACTGATATGTTCAATAACACAAGCTACATCATCATTCAAAATAGCAGGTGCTTTTAAAATGAATAGTTGACTGAAACAAAGAGACAACACTACAGGTATCAATTTCAGAAAATCGAATTATATGAAGCATCCAGTTTTACGATGTTGAGCCCTGTCATGTTGTAATGTACTGGTTTGGTGCGTGTCTATGTATACATAGGGAATTATGTTGCCCTCTAATGACTGGCTTGAAAAAAGGATAGAGGCTGCTACTGCTATCAGTCAATGGACTTCTTTAGGTCAAGTGACAGACACCTGTTTTTTGAGAGCTGAAGAACAAGTGTTGTAGTTCAGAGAGATATTTAGGCCTCCATCAGCAAAAGCTTAAGCACCTGCTTAAATCAATGGCATTATGCATATACTTAAAGTTAAGCATTTGCGTAAGTATGTGTGTTATTTGCAACATATATATATTTAACTATACCAGGCAACATCAAGGCCTCCTTTGCCTTAACCGGGTGACGAGGCAGGAACTAGTGGAATGCAAATGAGTTAATAATGCAACTATTAGGACATCAGCAGCTGTATAGATACTCATCATGATCAGAGTGGAGTCTCATTGCAAGTTTCTACTCCTTGATTCTGTGGGACAAGGTCTGTGCTTTAGGGCAGGGAATTCTCAACCTTCTTCAGTATGGATCACATTTTAATATCAACATTGTCTCCTTGACCAAATCCCCTCCCATTCACAGAATACCTAACTTCACAATTACACAACATCCTTGTTGCAACTGCAGCAATTGCTTACATGGAACAGTGATATTAGGAAATAATGTAATGTATTTTTAGCTTCTTTAATGTGATTTAGCAGCTGGAAAAAAGAAGGAACCAGTATTACATGACCAGCTAGTTGTTTGCAGACCACCAGCAAGTGCCCCAGGGACCAAGGTGCCGGAGCCTCTCTTTTAGAGGATGGTTTTCTGATGTGAAGAAAAAGGATTACAAAAGTAAATGTTGATTTGCCTCCCATTTCCAGATAAATTTACTAGTCTGCTGATTATTGTGAAGTTTGGTTTTGATTGTGAACAGTCCTGTCAGCATTTCCTCTCAGTGACAGCACTTCTTCTCTTTTCCCATTGGCTAGACAAGGAGGAAGAAGCAGTGCTGAAACAAGGCTGTTGGAGTGAAGCGAGTCAAACTGTGACAGAAGGGCAGTCAAGGGATGCTGAAGTAACAAAAGGATACTGTTTTGGTCATCTGTTAGATGGAGATCCTAGAACAGGGGTTCCCAAACTTCATTGCACCGCGACCCCCTTCTGACAACAAAAATTACTACAGGACCCCAGGAAGGGGGACCAAAGCCTGAGCCCACCCAAGCCCCGCCAGCCCAGGGCGTGGATGGGGGTAAAGCCAAAGCCCCATCTCCCCAGGCAGGGGGCCAAAGCCGAAGCCCAAGGGCTTCAGCCCCAGACAGGGGGCCTGTAACCTGAGCCCTGCTGCCCAGGGCTGAAGCGTTTGGGCTTTGGCCCCGGGCCCCAGCAAGTCTAAGCCAGCCCTGGCAACCCCATTAAAACAGGGTCGAGACCCACTTTGAGGTCCCGACCCACAGTTTGAGAACTGCTGTCCTAGAACACTGACTGTGTGGAAAGGGACACCCTAGAGGAAGTACACCAAGCTATTAGGGTTGTGTTTGTGATCTGCTGTATGGAGTCTACAGAAAGAGTAGACATTCAGCTGCCTATAATTAAGGCTAAGATTTCATCATGGATATTTTTAGTAAAAGTCATGGATAGGTCACGGGCAATAAAGAAATATCAAGAAAAAAAGCCCTGTCCTGACCTGACTTTTACTAAAAATATCCATGATAAAATGGGAAGGGACAGGGCAGCTGTGAGGTGGCGGGGAGCTCTGGAGCCTCCACCACTGGTGGGGACTCAGAGTTCCAGGGTCCCCCTGCCACCAGTGGCAGAGGGGAGCTGCATGGTCCCCCTGCCCCTTTCCCAGTGGCAGGGAGCACTGTGGGGGTCCCCCTGCTCCCCCATAACAGCAGGGGAGCACTGTGGGGGTCCCTTGCCCCCCCCCATGGCAGCAGGGGAGCACTGCGGAAGTCCTTCTGCCCCCTTGTGGCAGCAGGGGAGCTTCGGGGCTCCCCCTGTCCTCCTGCAGTGGTGGGCAGCTGCCAGGGGTCCCCCTGCTCCGCCGCCGCAGGAGCGGGGAGCTGCCGGGGATCCCCCGGCTGCCGCGGCTGGCAGGGAGCTTCGGGGTACCCCCCACACCTGTGGCAGCTGGGAGTTGCGGGGTATCTCCACTGCCCATGGCGGCTGAGAGCTTAGGGGCCCGCTGCTTCAGGCGGCGAGGTGTATCTTACAGCTCCCTGCCGCTGCAGGAGGTGACGGGACCCTGGAGCTCCCAGTCCCCGGGGCTGAGGTCACGGAGGTCTTTGGAAGTCACAGATTCTGTGACTTCCTTGACCTCCATGACAAAACCGCTGCCTTACCTATAATTCAAGAGAACCCAGAGAAAGGCTATTTCCCCAGGAAGAGAGGGTCTCAAGAATAGAACTAGGAAGAAGATATTAATTGGGAAGTTCAAGGTGCTGAGACACCCTGAAATGAAAATGTAAGCTTTTCCCTTAAACATGGTCAGACTATATAAATTCAGTTTTTGTCTCACCCTTTGGTAATGAACAGTTAGAGGGAATATACATATTAAACAAATGGCCTTCATTGTACCCTCCCTCAAATCACACTCTTTCAAACAAATACCCAAGAAGGATCAAGGAATTTCCATCTTACGCTGACATGGGTGCAGCGTTAAAGATACATAGGAAAAGACAAACAAATATAATGAAAGAAAGGGGTCCAAACTGTGGATATAACCTGCTGATTATTTTCCGCTAACGTCCGCAACTTGTTCATGATCTCTTCAGCCTCCACTGCCTCTATGATTTTCATGCTGAAAGCAGAGATGCAGGAACAGGCAATGGAGTAGGCAAGGATCTGAATAAAGAGAAAGGGGAAAAATACAGGTAAAAAAAACAGGTTAACATTTCCCAGGGTGAGAACACATAGGGAACAGCTTTGATTGAATACTGTAGATCAGGGGTTGGCAACCTTTCAGAAGTGGTGTGCCGAGTTTTAATTTATTCACTCTTATTTAAGGTTTCGCGTGCCAGTAATATATTTTAATGTTTGTAGACGGTCTCTTTCTATAAGTCTATAATATATAACTAAACTATTGTTTTATGTAAAGTAAATAAAGTTTTAAAAATGTTTAAGAAGCTTCATTTAAAATTAAATTAAAATGCAGAGCCCCCCGGACCGGTGGCCAGGACCCGGGCAGCGTGAGTGCCACTGAAAATCAGCTCGCATGCCGCCTTCGGCACACGTGCCATAGGTTGCCTACCCCTGCTGTAGATATACACCAAGGCACCTCGTTCCTCTGCCCCACTCCAGATAATAAGTAACCCACCCCAAATGTATTCAAGGATACCTAATTCTAGGAAACAAGTGAAATAAAATGTGGATACAATCATTCAGTATAGGAATAAGTTCACTGTAAAATAACCAGACCAATACAAGTTTTCCACGTGGTTTCCAATGCTGCTGCATGCTACATGTCAGGATTGTGATAACACTCAAATTTACAATATCTGGCCATTAACGAACAAACAATCAATCATTAAAATTACACTACTGACCAACTGATATTCCATACCTAAGGAAATCCAATGTTGAGAGCTACACGTATGCCCTCAACCCAAACTTTTGTGCCCAGGTACAACAGATAGTAAGAGACGTACCTCATATTTTGAAATGTTTATGAATTCCTATATCTAAACCAAAGTAGTAAATTGTAATTGCTGCCTTAACTCTGGTCTCCTTTGCCTTTGTATATTTTATTCAATTCAGTGTTAGCACGATGCTAGTATTTATTGTCCATTTGGAGACAGTGTTGTGATATTTTAAGATCATACTAAATTCTTCATTGTAGTGAACAGAAACTTTACATAAGATTACAAGAGATGGGTTTATAAGGACCATTTCATACTCTAGGTGTCCAGAAAAAGTTTACAAAGCAAAGCACTTGCTACTGACAGTACAGTGCCTCTTTAGGCCAAGGCAGCAGCCATTATGCACTCAGCAACAGCGCTCACAGCTCTTCAATACTAGAAACTGCTGAGAGAGGAAATCTGGTCAGGACACCCAGATTCTTTCTCACTCTTCCTGAAAAGTACTATAAGGTCTTTACTTTTCTCTTGACAACCACAAGGCAGGTAAAAGACCTTTGGTTTAGGATCTCATCCAAATGATGGATAATGAGATGTACCAGGGATGTTGTTATAAATACTATGTAATGGAATTCATACTATAACTGTAAAAGTATCTCCTGGGCGAGCAGTTCTCAACTAGGAGTCTGGGGCCCCCTAGGGGGCCGCAAGCAGGTTTCAGGGGGTCCGTCAAGCAGGGTTGCCATTAGACTTGCTAGAACTCAGGGTGGAAAGTTGAAGCCCCACTGGGTATGGCAGAACCCCAGGGCCCCGAGCCCCACCACCTGGAGCTAAATCCGAAGTCTGAGCAACTTAGCTTTACGGGAGCCCCTGTTGTGTGGGGCCCTGGGCAACTGCCCTGCTTGCTACTCCCTAATGCCTGCCCTGGTTTTTAATTTACTGGATATGCAGAAAAACAGTTGTGGGCCAGGAAGTTTTTCTAGCATGTGGGGGGGGGGGGGGGGGGGCTCAGAAAGTAAAAAGTTGAGAACCCCTGTCCCAGGCAATGCAGGATGCTGATGGCTTATGCATTTAAAAACATGCAGTGCTGTTCTGGCATAATTATAGTTATGGTAAAGAAGGTTTTTTTACAATTATAAGCCTTTTTTTCAGCTGTTTTTAATTTCCTAGAAAGATTCGTCCTCCGGGCTGACATTTTTCGTGCTTAAGTCCAAAACTACATGCTTAAAAATATTTTTGGTAAAATTTTGTTTGACCTTCCACACACATGGTCACATTTTTCAGTATGTGTAATCAGGAGATCACACAATGAAAGAAAATACTTTGAGGTTATACCACAATGTGCTGTGATCCCATTAGCTCTCATATGCAGCAAGGTTGGACCAGCTCATTACTTGGATGGGAGACCTCCAAAGAACACACCAGTAGCAACAGGATACAATATTGATGAGTCAGGGATTAACCCTGTATGGTGCAGGTGTGGAATGTTGAACATACTGGACAGGAATAAGACAGGGAGTGCAGAAACCTTCCCCACAAACACAAATGGTAAGCTACGGTCCCATCCACTTCTGGTCATTAAAGATTCCATGGCTTTTTTTGTAAGTGTAGTCATGTCCCAGTATCCTGGGCAAACTGTAACTGGCGTAATTACATACCTTCTCCCCAAATTCCCTATGGAGTTTCAAATTGAAAGGAAGTATGCTTTACTTCTTATTCCAAAGTTTTTGTAATGTTAAACAGATTCTGCATTTCATTCCAGCAGTTGCTGCATTGAAGCCTGTGTAAAATTTGTACATCAGTTAAGGTTCTGTAAAGCACTCCATAATCAATGGGGATGAAAAATTATTTTATAGCTATAAAACACGTTATTGCATAATCCAAGAACTATAGAAGGCTAATACACAACATATATTGACTGCAAGCAAAAACTGAACTATATAAAAATATACCTTTATTTAAAAAAAGAAAATAAAGTTTTAGTGCTGTACCAAAAAAGTAGAACTCCGTACCGATAGCTTATAAATCCCTTGGAAAAATAGGGGATTATGTAACGCAACTATTCAGCATGCAATGGGCTTAAGTGTGACAGGAACAGGCTTTTTTTTAAATATAAGCACATGCTCTAATTTGCTCTCTCGCTTAGTCTCCATTACAGTTTCCCCAGTGTTGTCAGCCTCACTAGTCAAGTTACATCTCAACTTGAATTGCTAACTCTTCGGGGCAGGGATGATGTCTCATTTGTCTGTTAAGTGTCATACATTTTGGCACTATATAAATAATGTCATGCTTAAACCCCACTCATCTGAGTTTTAAAACACTTGAAAACTGTTATAATGGGAAATGCTGACAAACCCACACCACAGTAGCATTTCTTAGTGCTACAATCACAGGAGCAAGCAAAAGGAACTTTCAAAGAAAGGAGCAGAGACCACTTTAAAGGAAGGGTTATTGTTTATCAGTAACTTGCTTTGTGCTTTCTGGGATACTACCCCTTGCAGCAGGGATTCTACCTAAGAAGAGACAAAGTTTCTATCTAAAAAGAGTTTGATGTATTATTTCTTAGTGCCTGTGCTGTATTAAATAAAAAAAATTAGAATATCAAATAAGCTTTGTTTGATAAATATAAAGCTAAAATGTTATGATAAAAGAAAAACTAGAAGTCAAAGATTCATGCATAAAAGGAACATACCTTGGAACTGTGTATCATTAGTCTGATAGTTATAGTATGTATGGCGCTTTCTTCGGTAAAAGTCGATATTATGGGTGGGGACGAAGGAAAAGTGGAGGGGGATAGAAAGTTATAATAAAGAAAAGAAAAGAGTCCTACCTCCTGGAACATTCTGCTTTGCTCTTCACTGGCATCCAGGTAGCTACAGAGTTTCCTCAGAGAGGCAGAGACATGAACCCGTGATTCTGTTTGGCTGCTGTGACTCATAAATGAAAGAACAAGTCCTACACCCAAGATACATCCAGTGCTTAAAAGGAAGAGAAAACATAAAATGGTTAGGAAGAGTTAAGGAAGCCTAGGCTCCTTTTGGATCTATTTTTCAATACTACTCAGGATACTGAGCTGTAGAAACTCAACTTGAACCTATATGGCATTTCAACTGCATAGATACTACTAATGTGACTGATACCTAGTCTTCTTAAAGGACAGCTCTTTCTCTCTCTTCCTCACAGACACACAGATAAGAGTTCATTGCCTCTAGAGATGAAGCACTCCCAGCCCTTATGCACATGATATACTATACTGATGTCACTAGCAATATCAACTGTTAAAGTGAACAGTCAATGTAGTGTGAAACAAGGAAGGCAGGAGTTCTGGGGACTCTTGTTAAAACTTGGGATATCCTGTTAAAATTAATGCCGCTAGTACTCAAACTAAATAAAAATAACTTCAAGAAATACTTTTGCCTTATCTTTAAATATTTAACACTTTCCAACAGCAATACAAGGATTGGAGACATTTTTTCCCAGTCTCTATCTACGCCTCAGAGGACAATGAAGATAACCCTCAGCAACAGATACTCCTAAATATCACTGGGATATATGAACTATAGAACAATTGGAAAATTAAACATTTAGAATTATCACAAGTTATCATATATAAATTTTATATTATAATTTATTCATAAAATATGCAAAAATTAGAGACAGTTTGGCTAAAAGAAAAAAGTGTTTGATATAGTTAGATTTCCAATCACAACAATTTTCAGTGTAACAATGCTTTAAAAAAATAATTTACATTTCATAGGGGAGTGCAGGAGAAAAAGTTTTGTGAGGAAAACAGTGAATTTATTAGTGATCATTCTTACTTTTCTCTTTTTAAATTGTGTCTATACGGCTATTAAAAACATACCAGTTAAAGTGCCACAGCATGCTCTATGGGCTCTTACTGTAATATTTCTGACATAATGGCAATAATGCTATCTTCTCTTCTCAGTGGAATAATTCAACCATATAAAATACTGTAGCGTATACTACACCACAAAGTGCTTCACAAATAAGTAATGCAAAAGTAAAAGTTAAAAGGGCTGATATTATGCATAAGGGCTAACTCCTGAAATCACAGATGTTAATGGGAATTTTTGCCATCGACTACAGTGGGACCAGTAATCTATAAGACGGTTTAATGATGGAGTTCCATGTTGAAAATGTTTGAAACTTATCCTGTACTGCTGTCAATCAGTTATTTGATATTAAGCATTTTGCAGAGGCAAATCAATTTATTGTCCACAGATGTTAGATGATTATTTGAATGGAGGCCATTTAATGCCTTGAAAATTTCAGAATTATCAGGCTCATTATCGCACATATACTGAACACATAAGCAAGAACATTCATTTTTGCCAAAATCATACTTTTTTGACCTATCATGTTTGTTCTTCAAGTAGTTGTAGTCTAGTTGAGCTATACCATAGATCAATATAGTAACCAAACATTTGAAAGACTATATAAAAATATACCCTAAGGAAGGAAAAATATATATTTGGTAAGCCACAAATACTACCACTTATTTGTGACTTATCTTGGCATTCTTCAACATTTGGAGCATACATAAACCATAGAGAGGTCACAGTCAACCCCATTTTCAACACACAGTTTTTCTTAGGTTGAAAAAGAAAAAAATTCCCAAATCAATACGTAATAAAACAAGGACCGTATGTAGTATAATATATTCACTATCTGCATATTGTATTGTAACAATTGGGTGAAATTGGATGTTCTCTTTGGATTGGTTCTTTTCACCTTGCTTTCTCTGTGATCCTTGTAGAACTGAATTTGTTTAGAGAGATAATATAGTCAATGTAAACTAGATCAATAACATTAAAAGGAATTATATAACGAATGCAAATGTATAGTGAACCTTCTGTGTGTCAATAATGTTGAGAGAGAGAAATATTTGTAAATTTTATTATGTAATTTCCACAACAAAGGAGCCTAACGACTCTACTGGTGACTTAATTGTTGAATTATTTGTCAAAATCCCCCATTTTATATATATTTACAATTACACATATACTCAACAGTAATGTGTGTGAATATAGGTTTCTAAACAATATTTATATAATTCTCTATCTTAGGGGTTTATACCACCACCCATCACTGTAGCATCTGAGCACCTTCCATGTAAAATCAATAGCAATAACAAAGTCCCTAGATGACTGCTTGGAGTCTCTGATATGTCTCCGTTTTTGGTTTTCTAAAATATTAGGGTTTTTCTATTAAATCGACACACAAGGAAAAAATCTGTAATGCTCTTTGATACATAGAACATCTCACTGCATCTTCTAAATGGTGCATATCATGTATTAGAAAGCAGTACTGAACCACTAGTTTGCAAAAAAAAAATTATACAAACCAAAACACCTACTGTACAACAGCGAAAAAATACGCTAGTAAGTGATGTCTTTTCCACTAGATGGCAGCAAGATACAAGACATATCCTCTCCAACCAAATGGCAGCTCCAAGCAGCCAGAGATCTCTTAATAGAAGCTACACACCTTTTAAATCAGGCCAGCATGATGAATTTGCTCTTGGTGACTTATATCTCCAGAAGCAGCTCTCCCAGAAACATATTAAATTGAAGCAACTTTATTCCAACCACATTTAGAGGAAACATATTTTGGGTGTAAAATTGAACCTTTTTCTTATTTATGTAACATATTATATCTATTTGCAGACAGTTTGTAGCATATTTTTGATGGAACAGAACACCAGAGTATCTTCAGACAATCTCCAGCAGATGAAGTCCAAATGAAATAAACATACTACTGAAGTCACATAGGCAAAAGTGTCTACGGTGCAAAATATAAAGGTTAAAGGAACCCACTTTAAAAATAGCTATAGTTTTAGCTGGACAAGAATCAATACCAACTAAAGTCTAAAAATACTTCCTTG